TACGGATGAGAGAAGAGGCCGTGAAAGCTGAATAGCATTCTTTCTTTTTTTTTCTTTTACAAACGAACCTGCAGGAGCTGATTGTTTATCATCTTAGCATGTGTCGAAAGCATATTGTATCCCATGGCTTAACGAGGTCCATCGAAGTGCATGACTGTTGCAGATCGACATGCAGTGCCCACAAACCTGCTGGGAGTAAGTCGTCAACTCATGTGCAATGTAGAGGCAGTCATTGTAAATACTGGTGCTGCTGCTCGGTAGAGCAGCACAACGTCTCGGGCGACTTTATAAAGCTCCAAAGCTAGTCTTGGTATCGATGAGCAAGCATCCTATAACACAGCACTAATTCAAGGAGAGAAAATAAAAGTATACCTTCAATGTCTCCTGTACAATGGGTAGAAACTGTTTTGGAAGGTAGGATATAACAGTGAATGAACTTACCAGAAACAAACGATAATCAAAACTTATGATAATGTCTCGAGCTTTAGCCAGAAATATGAATCTCGACATCGGCTGTGAAGTTGCTAAGTAGTCCACCTACTAGCATCCATACTTTCTAGTGGTGTACAAGATGCTCGTTGGTAAACTTTACCAAGTCCAGTGCTTTTTGATGACTGATTTTCCTGGTTTCAATGGAATTCACAAAAATCACAGACTAACACACCATCACACACACAAAAAGGAGAAACTTACTCGTCTCTAGTGATCATTAGTACTGCACGGTCACTGTCTTGCTCCACTCTCACGACAGTAGCAGAGTAGACTAAGAGAACCAACAGTTTACACAAATTATCTGTGAAACGTCCAAGGAAGCCATCGAGCAGGCCAAGTACCTTTCAAGAGAATTAAGTGACAACTCGAACCTAGATTCAAGAAAGCTACCTCCATTATCTCCAGTATTGCCACAAAGTTAATGTTGAGTTCCTGCAATTGTCACAAAGTTCACAGCCAATATTCTTTCAGTAAAGATCACGGAGACAACTTTAGAACATAAGCCTGCAAGTAGAGAATCCACCAGGGAAAAAAGATGAAAAAATAAACCTGAAAGGATGAAAGGAGACATACCTCGGAATAAATCCTTGATAACAGTTCCTTGAGAAGCAAGAGCGTATCTTCGTCATCATCGTCGACGATTCCCTTCACTTCGGCGATTTTCCTCGCACCGCTTAGAATTTGGCCCCCATCGCTCTTTCCCAGCTAGCAAGCGATCACGGACCTCGACGGTGGACATCACCACTTCCGAAGCCACCCTCAGCTCTATCCTGTTCCCCTTCACCCCTCTCACCTGCATTCTCTCCGCTCTGGAGATCCATTGTCTTGGCATGAGCGTAGTCGATGCCGCATCACGAGCTCCTCCATTTCTTCCCTGTATTTGGACCTTTTGTATCGTTGGGGACAGGGCATCGAGCGACGTTTCGGTGGAATGAAAACATAGATTGCGAAGAATCGATGGATGGAGCGGCGAGCGTAGAGAGGCACAAAAAAACACAAGGATCAGTGAATGATCTAATCTCTAGAAGATAAAGAAAAGAAAGAAGCCATGGCTCCAGTGAAACAGTTACCCGGCTTAGATAAAATATAATTAGTTAGTTAACATTTCTGAAAGGATTTCAGCCATTAGTAATAGCATCCCATGCCACATAAGATGCGCCATTGCTCAATTGATAACCATAGAGTACCAGATTACCATATCCTTCAAGAATGAGCTTTGCGTTAACTATGCAATGAGGTTGTGGCTGGCAGTAGAGATTGAGTGCCCAGATTGGAGTATTACTGATGTCTTTGATTACTAAATTGCCATCTAGTTGAAAATGTAGATAGCAACTTTTACCTTTGTTTATAGTGTTGCTAGCCCAATTTATTTTTCTTTTATTATATAAAACAAAGTTGCAATCAAATTGCATAATAGCAGTAAATTCTTTGGCGGATAAAAATTCTCCAGGTGCTAATGTAGAACCTTTAACTTTTGGACCATTAACTAATGAGCTTCTAAAAGTGTTACATACGCCATGATTACCTTCAAAATTAAAGGGTAACTTGGATTGTGAAAGTTCATCATGTCTATTTAAATCAATTGTTTTATATTCTATATATATAGGCCCAACATATGCTTCCAAACTTTTCCATCCATTTTTTAAGACTTCATTTAAAAGTTTTGAACTGATGTCACCTAAAGCTCTTATTATAAATACTTGCTTTAAGCCACGGTTATCATCAATAGTACATTTACCAATCCACATTCGGACAATAATTTTATAAGAAGATATATTGATTACTTTACCACCAAGGTTAATATTATAGTTAAGACTTACATCTGGTCCAAGAATTGCCATTTTCTTACCAAACTCATGAATCAAGTCAGCAATAGCTGATTTTAGCAAGGTGTATGCAATAGAATTTGGAAATTGATTTATTCCATCATAATTTTGAAACTTAATAGGTCCAATACCCAAAGGGTAATTAACTTGACTAAATACAAATGTAGTGGTGTAAATTACAAAGAAAATAAATAAAGTATAAAGTTTAAAATCCATTAAAAATATCCAAAATAAAACACATATATATATACATAAACAAGAAAATGTATAGAAATTTATATATTCGACTATTACTTATCTTTATCAATAAGAAAACAGCCAAAATAATAGTAAAGAAAATTAAAATACATTTCTCTATAAACTCTAAAGTTCAGAAATTGACAATTTAGATATATGATAAAACATACATTAAATAAATATGAAATTATTAAATTTATTTAGGTTATTTCTCAGCATGACATTAATAAAATATTTATCACAATTTTTTTAATCATAGTAATAAGCTTCTTATAATATTAAGATAATATAGAGTCATTAGGATTTTTTGTGTTAATCCATCCATAGTATAGACCCTTAGTCTCAACTCAATAGAGTTAATTGACTTACTGAGCATCTAATCAGTTGTAAACTTTATGTTTCCCTCCATATTTAAAAACAAAACACAAATATAATACATCATAATTCTAATATCTTTGAGTATAAAAATAGGAAGTTTTTTACTATATATATATAAGGCACTTTAATATTTTAAGTATTAGAATAGAGACTTATATATGGTAAAAAATATGGTTTTGCGGAGGTGTCAGAAAATTCAAGACACACCTGTGTTTTGAATTGTTTAAACACTCATAAAATAATATTTAAAAGCCATGTATGCTATGCATAAACTCTCAATCCATGTTAGTTTATATCTTTTTATTGTGTCTTTTAATTTTTACTTTTTGTTCTAGATTGCAACAATTTCTTCCTTATAGTGGCTAGTGGCTGATGCATTCTCCTGCTCTGCAGCCTTCTTAGATTCAGTGAGTGTTGAGTCTCCAACGTTTGTTTACTTGTAGATCAAATTCAAGTGTTGGTCTAATCCTTAGTTCACTGGCAGCTTGCAGTGTTTTTCAAGTCCACTAATCTGACAAGAGTTTATGGTGGTTTTACTTGGTGATGGTCCATTGAATGCCTGGGCAATGGATCTGTTGGATGCACTCTAGTCACACATGGCATGGGCAAGCTTATCATTCCATTTATTAGCTTGGTCCATTTGTTTTTCATTTCTTTTTTGCTAGGTCTAATGATATTCTTTGAGAGTATTCAGCAGAGGTATCAAGAAAGATAGAAGTTAATATGTGTATAGTCTTCCTCAAGGAAGCTGAGTACATAGATTGCAAGACATATTGCATTACTAAGATTTTTGTAGTAGAGATTGATTATCAAGTTGTGCTTTTCCATTTTTACTCAAGGAGTTTGGGCAACTTGTAATCAACAGCCCAGTGTTTGCTAAGCAATTTCTAGGTAGTGCATGCTATAACCACAGAGCATGAAGAATAAAGAAAGATGCGAATCTTTGGAATCCATCGCACTGTCCACGTGGACGGCATCCAGGGGCTTGTATGAACATGGATCTAGATTGACTCACCCCAGGAGGATCCACGAGCGGATCCTGGAGGCCAGCTACTGGCCGAATCGATACCTCTCCAACATGATCGCTTACATGTATGGCAAATGCGGGAGCTTGGGCGATGCCGAGGCCAATGTCTTCATCACGCAATTCGAGGCCTGCGCGGCCTTCTTCTTCCGCGGGATACCAGACACGGACATTGTCTTGTGGAATTCGATCCTCCAGGCCTTCGCCCAGCGGGAGATTTTCAAAAGAATGCCGTGCTCGAGCATCTTCTCCTTCACTACTATCGTTTCCGTATTCGCCCAGGTGGGATCCCTCGACCACGCGATGCGAGCGTTCCATTTCATCCCCGAGAAGAGCGCTGTCTCGTGGAATGCTGTCTCGCAGATCGGCCAGCAACACACTGCCTTCGATCACTCCCCCGATAGAAACGATCTGACTTGGACCTTTTGGATAGCTGGATATGCCCAGAATGGGCATATGGAGCTTGCTGTAGTGATGTTTGCTTCAGTGCCTTCGATAAATCTAATCTCTTGCAATATAATGCTTGTTGGTTTTGGTAGTAACGGTTTCTTATCACAAGCTGTAGATCTCTTTTCTAGAATGGCTTGTATGTAATCTTATTCTTGGGGTAGTTTAGTCTCAGAATATGCCCGCAATGGGTATCTGGAAGACGCGAAGCACATGTTAGAGAGCTTTTACACCGAAGATCCGAGCACACTTATAGGCGCGTACTCGCAAAAGGAATCCTCAAATGGGCATTTTGACACCGCGAACCATCTCTTTGAAAGAATGCCGGGGAGAAGCGCCGTGACTTACACCGACCTGAATGGAAAGCTCGTCGAATCGGAGCGTGGAATTGGCTCATGGCTTACACTCAGAATGAATGCCTGCACAAGGCCCAAGCAAACCTTCGACAAGGCAGCCCAGCACGACGTGGTTACCTGGTCATCCATGGTCCAAATTTACGCTTACCATGGTAGGCTAGACGAACACGGTAACTTGGTCGACCATGGTGGCGGCCTTTTCCTACAGTGGATTGGGGCTTTACCACAGTGGAGGTTCCCGACGAGGTAACTCTGATGGCCGTGCTCATCACTTGTAGCAACTCGGGCACGATTAAACGAGTCGGGGATTACGTGATAAGCTTTGGCGAGCTCCTGGAGTGGAAAACTCCAAGTTCGCGCTTGCCGACGTCGAGCGCGAGAGGAAGCAGCAGCTTGGCATTGTTCCCGTATCGTTGCAGCGGCGGGTCGACGATGAAGAACGCGTCCGGGATCGATCACAACAGGAAGGTGGACATGGTGGCGATGATGATGAACTCCTCGACCTCGCCAGTTCCTCCAGCTTCGTATCACGCAGCTCATTTCCATCTCCAAAAGCGCATCACGGACAACATCACCAGCAACAGCAAAGGCTCCCGAGTTCCATCACGGCTCCTCCGCCTCCACTCCCTCGAGCCATTCCAGCCCCACCGTGCCGCTGGCGCCGTGTCTCCACGAGCTCTTCAGCTACGAGTCGCCATCGCAGTTCTTCAAGGTGGTGGACAACAAGAGCACGAGTCGGGGGGTGGCGGAATTAAGGCGCTGCATCCAGGACATCTGCAAGCTCCATTTCCAGCAGCAGCACTACTCGGCTGTGACAATCAACGGCGCAACCATACTGGACGAGCTCGTGAGGAACTAACTAGCCAAGCCGAATCATCCAGGAAACTAATGGTAAGCTCACTTTTGCTATCGTTTTTTCTTTCTTTTTTCTGTTCATGACTACCGTGCTGGGTTCTGGGGAGTGATGGGAGGGCTGTGCATCGGGATAATTCCTGTAAGATCACCATTTATATGATCCTGCTATCGTTTCTTGACCAGGTTCTTTTTGCTTTTTGCAGCCATGCATTGAGGAGTTCAAGCACCCGGGTGGCAAAACCGGAGTGGTAATCAGTGGCCGAGAGTTACACCAGCAGGATCTCCAGGTTATCCAAGCGCGGCTACACAATCGACATCGATGGTGCGGTGGTACCGGGAATGAGATCAAGTGCCTGGGCAAGCTCGCTCCCTCGTAAGTTCTCTAGCTCTCTTCGATTTTCTTGCTCTCTTGTCTCATCACTTTTCTTCTGGACTGCTTCTTCCAGGATCGAGAAGCGAGGTGTCGGCTTTGGAATGTTTCTCCTGTCCCGGGGATTGACATTGAGACAACGAGGGTTCGTGTTTCTGACTTCTAACGCGTTCATAGACTTTGAGTTCCAGCGAGTCCTTTCAGCGATAGGTGAGAGCTTGTTCCATGCAATCAAAACAGGAACTACTACTTACAGCAGAACGGGTGAATATTCGTCTGTACTAATCCCGTGGTGACAAAAGAAAGTTTGAATGTACCATTCTACATGTTTCCATATCTACACTTGCCTTCGTCCATTTTTTTTCCTTTCCTGGCTCTTTTGCCGCTCAGTTCTTTCCTTCTTCATGCTCATAAATGTCCGCAAGCTTGTGTCATTGTCCCTCCATATCTCATTTTGTTTTTGCCACTCAGCTTTTTTTTTTGCTTGATCGTGCTCATACATGTCTGCAGCTTTTCCCTCAATTTACAACTCACGGTGTCTTTTCTCCTCATTTACATCGATATCTAGCCTTTGTCCATGTTGTTTCCTACTCAGTTCGTTTCTTCTTTGCGCTTGTCCAGTGTTCCCTCATTAAGCTTGATCTAAGTTTGATCTCGACCATATCTGTCATGTGTTTCTCCAGCATTGTTTTGTTTTTGTTCATGCTCACCCGGCATTCTTGTAAAATTGCCTTCAACCTCTCTTCCTTGTCTTGTCAAGTTGCTCCTCTTCAAAAGAAATCCTGTCTTTGTTTTGTGTCTCTTCACTACATCTGCTATCTGTTATATGATGTGTGTTTCTTCGGTTGGTTTTGCAGCTAGCTAACTGTAAAGAAAAGTGTAAGTATGAAGGAGAAAGCTTTCACAAACCTGGACAGGTGGGAAGCACACTCTTGCTCATGACTTGTGCTCCAGATCCGCGATTAGCTTCACCTTTTTCTCGTAGTTGCTCTTGTGATTGAAATAGCTTGCGTTCAAGATCCGGACGACGGAGTGAGTGGAGTCTAGCGTCTGATCTCCTTGGCTCTTTTGAATCTTAAACTCGTCCCGGTAGCGGGTGATGTGGTAGAGTGCCCGCAACTCCAGCCACAGCTCCAACTTTGTCACACCAATTTCAAGCTCGGGATCATCTGAGCAGCGGCGGAGGCGGAAGCGGCGAGGACTCACTCCGCTGTTGTTGTCCGGGAAATTCTCGGGGTCGAGAGAGTGGAGGAGAAGCTTCTTCCAGCTGAGCAGATTTCTGCGCCTTTCCAGTAGCTCTGCCGAGATTTGAGCTCCCAATTCGTGTGGTGCCCGCTTCTTCTCGTTGCACACCTCTGCTGCCTGCTTCTTCTCGCTGGACATGGCCGCTCCCCGCCAGTTCTTCTCAAACACTGCCTCGTAAAGCATGTAGAGATCAGAGAGGAGATCGATCTCCAAGTCCACTTCCAGCTGCGCTAGCCGGACTTGCAACTCTAACGGCAGTGGATCTAAAAAAATTTTACATCCCTCCTTGGTGCTTTCTGTAAACCTTACCTTCTTCTTTGCACCAATCGGGACTGGACATGGTTGCCGGAAGCAGGATCTCTTGGTCGTGTTCTTCTCCACTTCTCCTGCCACTGGAAGATTCTGCTGCTGGATTGGCACCACGATTTCTCGTACAACTTCATCCTTGTTGCTTGGGCGATCATGATCATACTGGACTTCTCCTGCCATCATAGTTGCAGCCCCTTCCTTCATGCTTGGCTGATCATGGTGGGTGCTTGGCTGATCATGGTGCCAGGGATCCCTTCCACTCCCTGGAAGCGTCACCTCTGCTTCTTCCTTCTTGCTTGGCTGGTCATGAAGTGTGACATCGGACAAGAGGGTCTTCAACCCTGAACACAGCTTGTTGTTGACGATCACCAGTGTCTCTAAATCCTCGATTTCAGTGGTGTTCTTCTTCTTCCTTGTGAAGAGAGCAGGCAAGCAGCCGAAGAACATGCTACCTCGCTCCGTGATGGTCGTGCGCCTAAGCATCATTCTTGAACCCTATTGTATACTCGAAAATTAAAAACCAAAAATACCACACATTTAACTCAATTGTGTATTCATACAAGAAAAAATTAATTTAAAGGAGGTAGTTTTATAGTTACTTATAAGTTATGTTTAAGGTGATATATTACAAACTCTTACAATTATATAATATTTTTTAAAAAAATATGTATCTAACAGTTATACAATATAAATATAGTGACAAAATATCTTGTAATTATATAAACACAATGCATGTCAGTCTACTCGATCTAGAGCCAGCATGACGGGAGATGACTGCTCTAACAGCCCAATCATCCCTTGAATGGCTCGTTTGATCTGTTCTTCGTCTTCCCTGCCTTCCAGATCCAAGCTCTCGTCCCACACGGAAATGGACAGTACCTTCTTATCGATCTCCTTGATAAGATGATCCACAGTCGGCCCAATGTATCCCTCTCCCCTGAGCGTGAGCAGCACCGGTTTGAGCTCCTCCATCCCTTGCACCAGCTGACCAACAATCTCTTTGATCGTCTTCTTGTCCCGCTCCTCGGTCTCGGCCTTCTGGATCAGCTGCTCGAATGCGGTGTTGATGAGGTCTGAGGCAGTGACGAGTGCTGCCGATGCAGCTGCTGCCACCGCCGCGGCCGTCTGCTTCTTCTTCTCCACCACCTCTACGTCGTCCGAGGAAATAACTCGGGGAAGCAGCAGCCGCAGGTCCACCTTCTTCCGCGGGAGAGTGTACATCGGCAGCTCCAGCCGATGCTTCTCGATGAACTTGAGGAGTTCCTTTCTCACCAGCCTGGAGATTGCTTCCGCCAGCTCCGGGTCGATCTTGTCGCAGCTCTCAAACGAGGAGACGTCAGGCCCTCCTTTCGGGTGGCTCTTGCTTGTGTCAACAACGTTCTGCGTCAAGTTTGTGTAGAAGGGGAGGAAATCGTCGTGGAAGAGCACTGATGACCACGGTTGCAAGAGGAAGTTCATGATGTCATTCAAGCTTCCGTCGCTATATCTGTTTCGAAACATAATAGTCAGTACGACCAAAAGCACAAAGAACTCATGAGCTACCTTCTCGGAAGACTGTTGAGAAGAGACACTGGAAGCCCGACGACTTGGCTGAATTTCCAAGCGTCTGCCTTCACCTTCCCGGCGTAGAGGATCCTGGCGAGCTGCTTGTTCTCTGCGATGTCCACTCTCGCGTAGAAGTTGCTGAACTTGGTTAGCATGGAGTAGATCCGCAAGTCGTCCCAGTTCGTGGAGTGACAACTGGGAAGCACAATGCTGAAAAGCTGAACGCCGCCAGGGAGAATACCACCAGTGCATTTCGGTCGGCCCAAGAGTGGCGTAACTGGCGCAGGCCACTTCTTCCCGCCACCGCAATCCTTCGTTTTCTCAGGAAACCACGGTAGATAGCTCAGCCATAGCTTGCCTACATCTGGGAGATGACCGTTGAACCGGGAGATCAGTGATGCTGCCAAAGCTTCGCCAACCTCTTGGGAACAGAAAGTCTCAAGCTTCGGCAGCTTTCCACAGTTTCGGCTAAACTTGCAAGCAGTCCCAGCAGCATAAATGAGTGGGTCATTCGTTTGAAACTTTCCGTCCACAATCACACGTCCATCAAATATGATGTTCTCCTGAAAAGAAAAAAAAAACTTTCACTTGAGGTTGCAACCACAAAGCAAAATACTCACCCTTCTCATCACGTTGAAAAGAGGGACGTCGACTTGCTTCCGCTCGCAGGTCACCAAGAGACAACACGGGAGCTCGTGGTGGATTTTCTCGTCCTCTTCTTCACCCTGAGCTTCAAACTTCGCTGCCTTCAAACTTCCGGACCCGTTCGTAGTGACTCCAACAAGCTTCAAACCCGACTTGACAGCTACTTGACACCAAGCCAGCTCCTCCAGCAAACAACTCAAAATGTTTGCATCCCCGTGGACGTACTTGTTCGTCAACTTCTTCTCAGCGTGGCACAGTACGATGTTCGATCCCCTCAGTCCTCTGGAAAGCAAGAGCTGGATAACGTAGAAAGCTTCTAAAGTGGAGCCGTAAACCACTGCGTGACCTTCACCGTCGACAAGGACTTCGCGGGGGACTTTAAGCTTCTCAAGTGACCCTGTAATGACGTCCAGCCTCGCAAGGAACTCATCCGCCCGGATAACTTCCTTCACTGCACTGATCCCAAGCTTGCACCCCGTCTGGTCTTGCATCCCGGTTGTCATAATGAAGAGATCATACGATAGAACTTCCCCGTTCTTGAGTGTTATCGTCTGCGCTTCCCTGTCGAAGTCAGTCACGAGAGACGACTTTAGTCCGACCTGGCAATCAATCCCGAGCTTACTGAAGCACCGTGCCGGGCCTGATTCTACGTCGAGAATGGAAGCTGCTGACGACGAGAATCCCATAAAACCGCACGGAGATACCAACGTGACGTTTGTAAACTGCATCAGAGGATTCGCAATGAGCTTGTGAAGAAAAGCCTCCGCGGTGCGCGACGCACCGGCAACTAAAATTTTCGAGTTGACAGGAATCCTGTGCCTGCTTGTAAGCCTGTGAGTGGTGAAGTAAAGCGCACAGTCGAATCCGGAAAATAGTCCCCTTGGTGAGAAGTTTGCAACTGACCCTCGCCGTAAGGCTCTTTTGGACGGTCCAATAGTCTCGGGATGTCTGCCCCACTTCTGAGAGGGGCTCATATAAACGTGTTGTCTTGCGGGAATTAGCAGCATGTCTTCAATAACGTCGGGAAGATCCTGGTCTGGAAAAATGGGGCAGTAGAGCAGCGTTTTCTCTGTCTGGCGCATGATCTCTCTCAGGAATAGTTTTCTGCGATGACGAAAAATTGGACTCAGTGCCAAAAGAGTAACGCACGCTTGGTTTGCTGGAGGGTGATGTTCCAGATTGATGAAGGACTTGACGCAAAACTGCGTTGTCAGAGCTTCCACAGGAACGGTCTCCTCAATCATTGCCAAGCCAACAATTTGAGCAGACAGCACAGCGACTATGGTATGGCCTGGTTGGAGTACGAAAAGTTACACGACATCAGTAAAAAAAAACTCTAGTACTTACATCCTTTTCGTGGATGCTCGACCAAGTCGACAATGCTCTTGCAGTCCTTAAAATCTGCCAAGAACTCCGCAAGAGCATCAGCATCGCGGGACATAGTATGTCGGACTTCAAATCCCTGATCATTTCAGTAAGAAGTTCTGTAAAACTCACGTACTCAGAACTGGCTTCTTGTCACCAAAAGTTACTTACAGGAGCCAAAGAATCACGGTGAAGAAGATATAGGCATAAATGAGCGATTGACAGGTCTGGGGGATGATCCGTCATCACACGAGTTTCCGGCAGCTTGACGTTTTCAATTTTCCTTGAAGATCTGCAGGGTACTCTCGCAAACAGTCGGAGCAACGGATGTATCCGACTGGTGTATGGAAAGCCCACCAAACAGTAATCTCTAGTCTCTAGCTTCAATCACAACGTATCATACAGTCAGACACCGCAAAAAGAAATGACATTTACACTGACCTCGAAAGCCGACATAACGAAGTCAATGCCCTGATTTTCAAACTCTTCCTCGATGCAAAGCATGCTGATTTGGAACGCGTTCGTAATCTCCACAGGAACGTCGACTTCCACGACTCGAACTTTTGGTGCTTCCTCAGCCTTCATTTCAGGAGTGCCCCCTAGAGAAAATTGAAGTAAATTTGCTTGTCAAGACAGAGTATTGATCATACCGGGCTGGTTTGTCGCAGCAGCAGCAGCAATACCAGTAACCTGCTGAGTGACCTGTTGCGGAACTGGAGAAGAAACTGGAGAAGGAGATGGAGGAGCAGGAGCTGGAGAAGGAGCAGGAGAAGGAGACGGAGCAGGAGAATTCGAAGAGGCCGGAGAAGGAGCAGCAGGAGCCTCCGCTTGGTTTTGTGGCACTTCCGGAGTTGGTGTGCTTGCTGGTGTGCTTAACGGTGTACTCCCTGGTGTAGCTTCAGCCGAAGAATCTTGAGCAGCCACAGGCTCTTGGACAGTGAATTCGAATTTTCTCGTCACCTTTAACATGGAAAACAGTTAAAACTTAGAACGAATGGATTTCACGTTACCTTCTTTGTCAGCGTGTCATAGTCATCAGTATTGAAATTGAAGCAATAGTCATTGCTGATTAGAGCAGTGATGGCCATCAGTCCAACGATCTTATCGTCCACCTGCAAGTGACAACACTGGCTACTGCATGAGGCATACAGAGAGTAGAAAACTTACCTCCGCCACGAAAACGGTATTGTCTTTGTCTTGAGCAGCAATGAGTCTAGCAACTGCGTAAGGCTGAGACGGAATTGCGATTTCAGGCACTTGAGCCAACGGCGAGCCCCTCTTCTGAGCCCGCTCAATGACCGGAAGCAGCTCATCATTGTCCTCAACCACAGCCCTTCTGATTTTCATGGTCGGAAGAACTGTGCTGGACATTTACAAACAAATCATCCAGTAAGCCGGCTTCATGAGTTATTAATGCTGAGAGAAGGAAAAATGACATTAAAAGCTTAGTAATCACAAGATAGGACCCGAACCTTCGCAAGCATGCACACATGAGAAGCCCATAATCAGAAGTCCGTGACATCGTCTTGAATAGCTGGGGAAAAACTGGATATTGTGCAGGGCCTACAAATCGATACAAAGCTTACACTCATTCTCTCGTGTGTATAACGAAAACTTACTTGGAAGAAGAACAGCTTGGATATCGGGACAAAGGGTAAAGACAGCGCGCATAAAAGCTGATGAAGAACGCTGCATTTCATCCTCAGTAAGCGAGCACATCGCACACACCTCCATCCATAACAAGCTATCCGTCTGTGATAGGAAAAAACCACGTTAAAACATCATACTCGCGAGAGTAAGAAACTTGCCAGGAATCCAAGATCCGAAGCTTCTTGCCTCGCCCAAGCTCTAGCGTCAGGAATTTTTCTCATCGCAACAGTCCCGGGAACTGATGGCGCGTCGTTGAAAGAACAAAACGCCACCAATTTGTCGTCGGCATTGAGCACCACAAACGAGTAGATGGACATCTCACTGCACGGTCACAAGAGATAGAATCAAAACTAAAGAGCATGGAATTTGTAGCAGCAGGCAATAAGGAGAGAATCTAAGGCAATGCGCTGCGAGATCTTAGCAACAGGAAGGAGAGAATCTAAGGGATCGCTAGCAACAGAAGAAAGAAACAAAATTCTTACATGATGAAATGGAAATCGAAAGCTCCAAATGTGGATTGAAGCGCCACGCGCTGAGGCAGGAATGCGGCCGTGGCGGCATCGGCATCCTCGGCGGCCGCCAGGCGGAGCTTGAATCCTCCGCACAGGCTGAGCGCTTCCATTTTCCTTCTTTTGCTCAAACCCTAGAAACAAACTACCTCAAGAACAGCATATTCTTTTATATGCCCTAAAACCATTGGCGTTGGGGATCTCGCGGAGGGGACGGACGAGCGCAGCTAGAGCGAGCCTCTTAATTGTGGAGATTCTAGGTCTGTGATGTGAGGGCAAGCAATGGCGATGTCGAGCTTGCTGCCAGGCGCCACTACGCGAGGGATCTTCGCATCGTCGTCCTCTGTGCTTCCTTGCGCTGGATCTCGCGTCGAAAGGTGCAATGCGAGGCGATTGGCGCCGATCCGGTGTGTCGGCGTCCAGGCCGAGACGATTGCAGCGGATAATCTCTTCCGGGATTACAAGCCGCGGACAGCATTTCTCTTCCCTGGACAGGTGAAAGGCTGCGAATTTTTTGGTTCTTCTTTTTCTCGTTGTCATGAGTTTTGTGTGTTGTTGATCGATCAAAGGGAGCGCAAGAGCTGGGAATGGGAAAGAGTGCGCATGAAGTAGGAGAAGCAGCAGCGCTCTTTGCAAAAGCCAGCAACATTCTTGGGTGAGTTTCTGGAGCTCTTCTCTCTCTCTTTTTTTCTTTTCCTCTCTCTTTAAGTATAGCGTTTCTTCCTGATAGCTACGACCTTCTCGATGTTTGCATGAATGGTCCAAAGGAGAAGCTCGACTCTACTGTCATCAGCCAGGTTTGTGAATTCTATTGGCTTTGTATGAGTAAAGCTAACTATTTGATCGTAGCCCGCTATCTATGTTGCTAGCTTGGCTGCAGTGGAAGCCTTGCGAGCACGCGAAGGAGGCCAGGCCATCATCGATTCGATTGACGTAGCATGCGGGTTGAGCCTTGGCGAGTATACCGCACTCGTTTTTGCTGGTGTGCTCAGGTAGCTTTCGTTGAGTTTAGCCGCATTAGTGTCTCATTTTTCTTTCCTTTTCCAGCTTTGAAGATGGTCTGAAGGTTGTAAAAAAGCGAGGCGAAGCCATGCAGGTTCTCCTTTTACTGAGGCTTTGGCTTCTAGACTAATCTATTCATCTCAGGCTGCATCAGACGCGACAAAAGGGGGGATGGCCAGTGTCATCGGGCTCGATCCAGTGAAAGTTCAAGCTTTGTGTGATGCGGCCAACGAAGAAGTTAGTGAAGAAGATCGAGTTCAAATTGCCAACTTTCTGTGTCCTGTAAGTGAAGTGCCTGCGTCCGGCCTCTCATTTTCTGCCGGTTTTTTCATTTCTCGTCCAGGGAAACTACGCCGTTTCTGGCGGTCTCAAAGGTATCGACGCCGTGGAGGCAAAAGCGAAAAGTTTCAAGGCTCGAATGCTGGTGAGCTTGATTCGAGAGCGCCAAAAGGTTGAATCCAATACATACTTGATCGTAATCGCAGGTAAGACTGGCAGTAGCAGGAGCTTTCCATACGCAATACATGGCCTCTGCCGTGCCAACGCTAGAGGCTGCTCTAGCCGACATCGAATTCAAAGTTCCCAGGATCCCGGTGATTTCAAACGTTGACGCGCAGCCTCACTCGGATCCCAAAATCATCAAGGAGATACTCGCTAAGCAAGTAAGCAAGATTTACCTCTCGTGACTCGTGACTCTTGACTGGTTGATCCATGATACAGGTAACCTCGCCAGTCCAATGGGAGACCACCGTGAAAACGCTGCTCAGCAGAGGACTTGAAAATGCCTACGAACTTGGCCCGGGAAAGGTCGGATAGTTGGCTGCGTTGTTAAGAAAAGCTAAAGTAGTTTGCGATGCAGGTGATCTCGGGTATTTTCAAGCGTGTTGACAAGAACAGCCCGCCCGTCACAAACGTGAGCGTGTGAGTTAAGTATTCATCTCAACTAATTTTGCCAAAGCACTGAGCCTTTAACGAAGGTTGAAAGCCTTTTTAAGATGATAATATTCAGTGTGCTAGCATTACCAGAAAATGCATGAAGAACACTACAAATTTTTTCTAGAGGTCTACTGTTTCGAGAAAACCTTGTTGATTTCTTTCTTCAGATCAAAGCTTTACAGAAATTAAAGTGAATTGATCATTCTCAAAAAAGTTTTGACTGTTTCTCCTTTTGCTTAAATCTGCTTCTCCTTCTGAATCGTCCTTAGAATGTGAGAAATGGTGCCAGCTGCTATAAAGAGCCCAGTTCCAGATCCAATCACTCCCATCATACTCGCCACCACGGAAACAACACCAATGCCAAATCCTCCAAGCGCTGCCGCCGCTGGAATGTATCGATCAAGCTCTTTTTGGAGGTGGGAGCTCCTGTGTCCCACGATCGTCAACCCTTCCTCTCTCCACCTCTTCGCTACATCCTTGGAAGACGATCCAGACAACTCAATCCACGCTTTGGAAAGTAAAGTGCAAGACACCACCGTGAACACGGAGTAGACGAGAAAATGGAGTGGCTCTTGGATCACGCTCGCTGGAGGATGAAAAAAGTTGTAAATCATCCCACCGAGAACTCCCATCACGAAATTGTTGTAGCCCAAGATCTGACCCATGCATTCGTAGGTCTTTCCCAGACTACTCGCGAACTGGGATAGAAGCATCACTGGCGTTGTTGCAGTGTAAAAAAGCTCGATCGGATACTCCATTCGCCGCCCTTTCGGATTGATCACTTTGATCACCACGCTGAGAGACTGAAGAAATAAAATCACGCCGATCGCTGCGATAGTCAGCAGCAGCGTCCAAAGATTTGGGAGGTGCCTTCGAAAGAAGATACTCCGGATGGTTCTCATGTTGAAACCGCCATGGAACAATCCTCGAAAAGCTTCCACTATGGCGCCTTCGAATTCAACTCGTCCTCGAAAGTTGGCGGTGACGGGACTGAACGAATGCCATATCAAGCTCTCTGCAACATTGCATGCCGCAAACAAAGAACTCGCTGAGGTCCCGACTCCATATCCTTTCTCCAAAACCTCGTCGAGAAACATGATCATCAAAACTGTGGAAACAAGTTGCAGCACCACCATGATTGAGCTTATCACTCCGATCGATCCATACATCCCACCAGCAACGTTCATGATTGCCAAAACCAGCGTCAAGAACAGCCCCCCAACCTTTTGTACCATTTTCATGGATTTCGTGTCCTTGAAGCTTAGAATCTTGCCACTGGCCATCACTTGCACTGCCATGTTTGTGGTGATGAGCGGTGCGATTCCCAAATCCATGAGCGTCCCGTGGCTTGAATTTGTGAGTAACTGATAAGGATTCTCGCTGAGAGATTTGGTGATGCCAAACACTGGTAGTCTACTGCTGACGATGAGGAGAGAAACACATAAACCTGTGTTTAGAAGCCTCTGCTCTAGCGGAATTGGGAGCTTGGGACTATCGATCTCCATGTTGAGTAGCCTGGTAGCCCCTGTAAACAATCTATCCGCAAATCCTTTCATCTTGGACAAGGCCATGACTAAAGATTAGGTTTTGTCGAGATTGGTAGCTTATTTATAAAAGGACAAAAGGCTAGAGGAAAAAGGTTTATGTTAACTTAAGCATAAAAGAAAATGTTTGGTTTGAGCAAGAGTTTAATTGAAGCTCTGAAACACTTGCCATCTTTTCATTATAGGATGGTTCGTGGTCTTATGTTGTGATCCACAACAAGATTAGTGTAGATATATGTTGGCGAGATGGGCATATCTTGCTCCTCTGTGACATTTCCAAGAGTGAATGCTGACTGATGAATAGGGATACTGATTAATCATGGACACCAACACAGACAAGAGCTCCCTTCTATTTGAGGAGCAAACACTAGAAACAACACTAAAGCAGTCTTCATAGTTAAAACTATGGAGCTTGATGAACTAGGCTCAATCAATGCCTGTTGATTAATGGTTGAGCTTGGGAGACCTTACATACTATTGACAAGATCCACCATCCGCTGCCAAAGTGGTCTTTACTCCATGCAATCACATTATTAGAACTCTAGCTTTAACAGAAATCTATCAATATATCAGAGCGGTTTCACAAGGACTTTAATATGAAAAAATAAAGAAATAAATAAGCTTGCCTTTTAGATATAAATTAAATCTGATCAGAGCCACGTTTCGATACTGGGATGCTGAATAAACTTGTTAGTTTTTATGTGTTTTTTTTGTTCAAAAGTCAAAGGTATTATTATAAGCATTATTATTTAATCAAGCACAAAGCTCAAATTCAAAGTGTTTAAAACAAACAAGAGCGTAGATAGCAGAGGCAAGAATTTATTGGTTTTATGATCTATAAATGATGGAGAGGATCAATATATCATAAAATGTCAGAGCAGTGTAGGTAAATATGCAATTTTTCTGGTTCGAAATAATATCAGAGCATCCTGGGACCTGTGGGTTATGAGCACTGCGCCACTCTGTTATGAGGAACTTTCTCCTACCCATCTCCAAGTCTCGGATTTTCCTGGTGATAGATAGTCAAAGGAGGTTTTGGATGGCAATAAAGGCAAATAGTAAAATTTTAAAGGAATATACTTCTAGGATATTTTAATAAGGAAGATATGGTTTTAGCATTCTTTGGAAGATCAAAACTTGTACCTATATATATAGGCATTAGCTTGAATTATTTTGTTTTAATTGTTTTTAGGCTAAAAAATATTATTGTTAAACCTTAATGAATTATTAAAAGTTTCTTTTGTCCTTTTGTAATATTTTTTAGTCATGAAAATTCTATATATGACTTGTATTGTATTATTAATATTTTAAATAACGTTAAAAAATAGTAGTATTCAAGATATTATTAATGGATGTTTCCAAAAAAAACCAAGTGATGCAGAAGACAACAAAAAAATTACTAAAAAGATCTATATTTGCTATTAATATTGTCTACTATAAATTGTATGTTGGTTAGTAGTTGTGAATTAATTAAAGTTTTCTCAAATTATTGCATGTTAATTTTCAGCTTGGTAAATTGAAGTAAATTGAAAATTATTATCTATGAATTTTAAATTTTTTAAATAATTCCTATGATATTAAGTTGCTAGTGATTGTTTACATGATATGAATTGTTACTTAAGATAAGTGATACTTAATATGTTTATATATTATTTTACAAACCACCATGCAATGATTATTATATATAACTTTTATATATTATATAATAGAATTAAGTTCTCAGTATTTTTTATAGTCTTGCCATGACACTATGACGAGTGGTTTCGTCTATGTCTAGCACAACACCAACTCTTGCATAATATAGAGATAATCATCAACTAACAAAACAAATCAAAGCCTTAAAATAAACTAATGGACGGAACTAACTTTACTTCCACCCCAAGAAAAGGGCAGCATATCTCCCAAAAGGATATTCTTGGTATTTAATCGAGCTCAACCTAAAATCGGAAGCAGTTTATTCTTGGTTCTTAGGTAGTATGGGAAGGGGCGGCCACAAGAAGCATGGATGGGAGCGCCCTAGGCACGATCAGGAGGGCTCAATCATCAACGCCAAGCCCAGCAAGCCCCGGAATTCGTCCAGGAATGGCGAGCGCCACACGCAGCCGCTGTGCAAATCCAGGGCCAAGTCCAAGGGCAATCGCAAGGCCCAAGGCCACGACCTTGGGGCCGATTACAGGCTCTACAACTGGACGCCCTTTGCTAGGGAATCCGTGAAGAAGGTTTCCCTGGATGTGGATCGCTACAAGGAGGATCTAGGGATCGCGCTCTCCCTCTCGCTCCTGGAGAGCCACAAAGCGGCCGCGGCGCTGGGCAAGAAATCCAAGGCGCCCATCGTTGAGGCGGTGGAGGAATTCCAGGAATACCAGGAATTTGAGGAGGATTCCGAGGATTTTGAGGGGGATTTCGAGGAGGACGACGCTTCCCTGCCGGAGATTGTATCGGAGGATGGCGATGATACCCTAGCCCGGCAGGGGACCGCGATTGAGGAGGAGATTGGGGGCGAATTTGCCCCCGAGATTGACAATCTCTGCGGGGATCTCACTGGAGTCGAGGACGTGTCAAGCGATGGCGACGGCGGATGGAGCTGGGAATCGTTCTCCTCGGCCTCGGATGATCGAGAGGTGGACGAAGACGAGGAGTATGAATTCGTGGACGAAATCCGCGAGGACGAGAATTGGTCCATGGTCCCCGCTTGCTGATTGATCGCTCTCCTGTGATTTCTTTGCTTGTTCTCGATTTCCCTCCTCACACTGTACATAGCATTGTTTTACTAAATATGAAAATTTTGGGCCATGGCCCATGGTCCAATTGCTTCGATCACTGGCCACTGGGAAATATTTTAGGGTTTATCGCCATGCCGGGGCGGAGGAGAGCGCTTGTGCTGCGCAAGACGTCGGCAGCTGTAAGCGCGCTTGTGAATGGCGATTTCGATCACTGCGCTTGTGCTGGCGTCGATCTTTCTGCGGGAATTCTCTTCGTCGATGACTCGGAGGGGGATTTTGTTCTTGGAGTGGCATCGTCGGTGCTGCGGGAGCTCTCGATCAGCTCCGGATCCTGGGTATGTGTTTCTTGCCGGCATTTTGATTACTAGATTGATCGGCCGATTATTTCCAGGTCTTGGTGAGGAATGCCGAGAGGAATGTGAGCAGGGCTGCCAAAGTATTGGTTCTAGATCCTCCTCTCTCCAATCCTGTAAGCTCAGAGCCTTCGTCTCCTCCCTCGCCAGCGCCCCGAAATTTCTTCCCATCGTGTAGAGTTTCTCCTCCCTCGCCGTGTGTTTTCGATTCTCTCGTCGGTTACGTCTCGCCATTGCTGGCTTTCAATCTTGGAATCCATCTAGCCTGGCTGGAAACGATCGTTACAGCTGGAAACTCTGAGAGTTCTCCCTACGCTTTTGATAAGACCGCCTCCGTGCTCTTGCGTGTCGAAGCTCTGGACGACACACAGATCAAAGTTGCCTCACATATGAGAGTTTCGTACGTCAAGATCCCCGTGCTTTCCTCGAGCTTGGATAATACTCCACGAAACCGGCAGGAAGAAGTCGATGCTGCGCTAAAGCTCTATTTCAGTGGCGGCAAATGCATGGCAACGGGGGACTTGTTCTCGGTGAAGTTGCCATCGTCGACGATCACGGATTTTTATCAGCGTTTTCACTACGGCATGGAAAGTGAAGATACGGTTCTCTTCAAGGTGATGATATTTTTCGTGTTTTTTTCTTCTTTCGAGTACTGAACTTGCGCTTTAGTAGGTGCTTTCATTGGAGCCATCCACGGAACCTTTTTTGCGCATAGACCAGAACCATACGGCCTTGGTTTTGAGTGGCTCCGTTCCTTCTTCCCTACCACCTCTCGTTCTCAAACAAAAATCATCGTGGTGCTCGTCACTTCACGCGCCTGCTGTACGTGAGCTCCTTTCACTCGCCGCGCCTTGTTTCCACCCGAACTTGTCTCCACTCAGGATATCGACGCTCATACTTGGCCCGGCAGGTACATGTTTCGTATTCCAAATTGCTCCTTTTCACCTTTTGGATAATTCAGGTGTGGGCAAACGAACTGTAGCAAGGCTTGTTGCCGACGCGTTGGGAATTCACGTTGTCGAGTATAATTGCTACGAGCTTGTTGGTGCGTCGGAGGGAAAGACTGCTCTAGCGTTGGAGCATGTTTTCAAAGTTGCAAGCAGGTATATCCGTTTTGCAAGTTTGAGCACCAAACTAAATTATTATATTGCGCTGCAAGGTATTCTCCAGTCATTTTACTGTTGAGGCGCTTTGGTGCTTTGGGGGAGAAGAGTGGCGGAAGTCCTAATCAGTCACAGGGCCCATCTCGTGTGGCTGCTTTGCTAAAAAGCTGCATTACAAAGTATGGCTACTCTCGCCAGCCTGTGGAAGACGTCATAAGCGAGAATTCGGAAAACGTGGACGCATACAATGTCAACGAGGACTCTGAGACGGCCTTGAAGGTTCGGCATGTCACCATATTGTCTTTACTAAGTCTTAGGATACTCCAGAATGTAACGAGTTCAGTATTACTGATCGCTACCGCGGAAGACGAAGCGTCAGTGAAATCCCTCCGGCACTGCTTCACACATGAGATATCGATAGATACTCCTGATGAGGCTCAACGGTTGGAGCTTCTTCAGCACTTCCTTGGTTGTACAGAGCTAACGGTCCGTTATCTGATAATGTTTCTGTCTTTTTACAAACCGTGTGTGTGTGTGTGTGTGTGTGTGTAGGACGAGCTACTGCTTGGAGCAAAGTCTATCTCCTCGCAGACGGCGGGGCTTGTTCCGAGAGACCTTAAAGCTGTTGCTGCCGACATTTCTGCCTTTACAGTTGGCCCGTGTGATGATGAAAACAGCAAGATCTTGTCAAGCTCTCGAGACCATTGCAAGCGTTTCAGTCCTGAGTGTTTTGAGAAAGCTCTCGAACAGGTCAAAAAACGAACTGCCTCGGCCATTGGCACTCCAAAGGTATGCTGAGCAGCGTTTTTGCGTGGTTTCATTCTGCTTGATTTAGGTGCCAAATGTGAAATGGGAGGACATCGGCGGCCTTGAAAACGTAAAACGTGCTATCCTAGACACTGTTCAAGTACCACTTGTTCATCGCGAGCTGTTTACGTCTGGATTGAGACAACGCTCAGGTGTTATGTTATATGGGCCTCCTGGCACTGGAAAAGTAAGTTGATCTAGCTAAGTTCTGTATCTCACCGTGAATCTTGGCAGACTTTATTGGCAAAGGCGGTAGCTACTGAATGCTCACTCAATTTCTTAAGCGTAAAAGGACCGGAAGTTATCAACATGTTTATTGGAGAGTCAGAAAAGAACGTCAGGGAGCTGTTTCAAAAGGTCGTTTTTACAGAGCTCATGATCACCTAACAACTCAAGTTCTTTTACCCAGGCGCGAGGAGCTCGGCCTTGTGTCATATTTTTTGACGAATTGGATGCGCTTGCTCCAGCTCGTGGAGCATCTGGCGATTCGGGCGGTGTCATGGATCGCGTTGTTTCACAGGTAGCGAAAAGTGTACTTTTGTTTGGACTTAACCCAGGTTCGGTACAGCTACTAGCAGAAATCGACGGACTCGGAGAGAATACACAGGTGCAATATTCTCGGACTTATATTTCATGAGATTCTTAGAATGCAACTTGCAGGATCTCTTTGTGATTGGAGCGACTAATCGTCCAGACCTGATTGACTCTGCTCTTCTTCGACCCGGTCGCTTTGATAAGCTGCTTTATGTTGGTATCAGTCCAGATCCAACGTACAGAGAAAAGTATACTACCTTCTTTTCTGGTGATGACAATTCTTCCTGACTGCTTGATTTGCAGAGTTCTTTCGGCATTGTCACGAAAGTTTGACTTGGACAAAGATGTCTCGCTGGGACTCCTAGCTAGAAAGTGCCCAGATAATTTCACTGGTGCTGATATGTATGCATTATGCGCTGATGCCTGGATGCAAGCTGTGAAACGCAAGGTACACATGCATTTTCTATCACCACGCGATATACTGTTCGAGTGGTTTGCAGGCTTTAAGTTTTATAGAAGAAGACGATTCTACTGTGGTCGTGAAGCAAGAGGACTTTTTCCAAGTAAGACGTGCCATCTTTGTTTTGCTGCTAATTAATTTTCGTTGTAGGCCCTCGCAGAACTGAAACCTTCGCTTTCGTTGCAAGAGCTTGCGAAATATGAACGCTTGCGCGTTCAGTTGCAAGGCACTTGACATCGGAGAGACGTCACAGCGCACGTCTGAGTGAGATCATCGACGCATCAGACAATCAAATCAGCTAACTGGAGGAGAAGGAAGCAGGGAGTTAAACCACTGGGTACGTTCTTTTTCGTTTCAAATGCAAGTGGAAGAACAAAAAAGAAGACTCTCCTCACTTATCCTTTCCAGACTCAAATGTCGCTTTGGAACCCTCCTTGACATGGTCGGCGGCACCCTTGACAGTGTCCTTGGCACCCTCGACGCTCTCGGAGGCGGAGCTCTTGGCATCCTCGACTTTCTGGGAGGCGGAGTCCTTGGCATCCTTGACAGACTCCTCGGCGTTGTGAGTGCTCTCGGGCATCGCACTCGTCGGCTGCTTTCCATGCGCCGCTGCTTGCTCCTTGCCCGCGTCAGCGGTCATATCCTGCACTAGAAACGAATCCTCCACATCGGGGGCCTTGCCTGCGATCGCTCCTATCGTCACTGGGAATTTCTGGTTGTCTTCCTCGCGCTTGGCGAGACTACCGCCTTCTTCCATCTCTAAAACAGAGAAAACCGTGTGAAGGGACTCGTCTGGGCTCGGCCTTTATAAAGAGGATACGTATGGGCTGTTTCTAGGCTGCCAAGTGTTTCGACACGTGCCAGTAGGGGAACGTGCCAAATCGGCTGACTTACTGGGTGCCAACAATCCAAGTCGGTTCTAATCCACGTGGCACATCAGAGTTGATAAATGTGTCTGGCTTGAGCTGTTGCTCGTAGCTCTTTTTCCTCTTCTTGCCCTAGCTGCTCCTGAGTTTGTCTAATTTGCCAATTGCAGCTCTTGGGGCCTTCCTTCTTGTAGTAGGAATGCTGCTCACCAACTTGAGAGATGATGAATCTTTGCTACTCCTAACTTCTAGACTGTAACAAAAATCTTCTCTTACATACTACTTTGTTCTCAAACATACTTGGAAACACGGTTGGTCTATGGCTGTGTGCAATGCACACCAAGATTTTTCAAGTTAGCTTGCCCAAGAATGTAACGAAGTCTTTCTTGCACTAGAACTTGCTCCTGATCACTCACTCACTGAAGAACTCTTTTAAGATTTTCAGGATCATTGTGTTTCCATAGCTAATTAGAACTCTAAGGTTCCCTTCATACAAACACTAAAGAGAAAGGATAAATTTGGAATCCTCTCCAGACATTTCAAAACTTCTTTGAACACATTTAAATTTCTCTTACAAGCTCGGGAACATTATTGAACTGTGGTTGTTTGCAAGTTATAAAGAAATTCCTCTTAAAGAACACTTTCTACTTTTTAAAGAAGATAAAAATTTATTTCTAAGTCATGATTATTAAAAGGGTGAAGCTTAATTTAACCTCCATCATTCCATCGTTGCCCTTTCATTTTAAGATTATTTTCATGTTTATAATGGTTACCATCTCTTAATATCTTGGAGTATTATTCTGAACTTTTGCCATCTCTTTGCTTATTTAGAGATTTATCTAAATCTATTCAATCTCCCCAATTTGCCTCATTTCTACTAGGTGTCTTATTTAATTTTTCTTAAATAAATAATTTTTCAATTTTAGATGTTTTTATATATTGTAACAATGTGAAATTTATATTTTTGGTAACCATTCTGATAAACTATTCACTTAAAAACTATATAAAAATAAATAAAATAAATTTATTTTTGATTAGAATAGATAAATTAAGATAGTAAAATTTGAATTAGTTCAAAACAAATTTAAGATAACATTGTCAAAGATACTCTTTTCTTGAACATATTAATATATGTTTTGATAAAATTAATATGCATAAAAATATAAAAGGAATAAAACTTGAATATATATAAATAATTGCCCTTAAGAATATTAAGATAATTTTCCACAAGAAGATTATAAATATAGTTGATTCTGTACGATAAGAAAATAAATTGCTACGCGTTGCATGTAGCAACGCTTGGTTTGCTTAATACTAGTGTTATTATTACTTATTAATCCAATTGATCAAATCAAGTTTATAATTATAAGCATGTTTGTAATTTATATATACAAGATTAATTTTATTGCATATCAACCGTTAGATGGTAGAATAAAAAATAATATACTAGAAAAGGTTTAAGAAAGTTTATAAATTATAAACATGTTTATAAATTATAAATACAAAATTAATCTAAATGAATAACAACCGTTAGATGGTAGAATATTCTAAAATATTCAAGCATATTCTAGGTATATCCACTACCATCCCAGTCCCTCTATAAGTTTGCTTGAGCAAACCAACAAAAATCGATGAGTTTTAGATTTGCCCTAATTACATTTATGTTACTACTATTCTCTACTTAATAAATAATATTGCAATAACGGTTTAAATAATAAAATTCCTGATATTCAAGTGGACCACAGTCAAAGTCAATAAAGAGTCGTTCTAATACGACATTTCAATCCACAGTTGAGACCCAGAAATCGTGGCAAGCACCACCACGTTGTCGTCTCCTATTTGGAAGCAAGGATTCCCACTCCTTCCATGAGCTTCTAAAAATTGTATCAAGCTGGCCCCTATAAAACAACGACTACAATGCTCCTGTGCTGCAGCAAATGTAAGAGAGCCGCGCGGCGCAGCACACACACAGTACTCCTCGCAATGTCTCTGATCGTAGCTTTTCTCATCGCTTCGATCTTTGGCGCTGCTGCTGGAGAGTCAGAAGAGTCGGGAGCTCTCTTGGAGCTACGAGCTTGGTTGGTTTCTAGCGACGATTACTTTGCCAAGAGTTGGAGTAACGCTTCCACTCCCTGTGCATGGCCCGGAATAAAATGCTGGCCCGACGGTCTCGTCCGGGAGATCGATCTCTCCAGTAGGAATCTGTCTGGCAAGCTTCCAATCCCCGATATCTTCTCACACTTTCCCCAGCTGGAAGTCTTGAGCATAGGTGACAATGCACTGTCGGGACCCTTCGTCCTCTTGTCTTCTTCTCTTCCTTCCTCGTCTCTTTCCTTGCCATTGTCACTGTTAAAGAGTTTCAATCTTAGTGGTAATTCTTTCACGGGGCCCATTTCCAGCGTCGTCCGCCCAGCAACCATGCCAAAGCTCCAAGCCTTGGATTTGTCCGGCAACTATTTCTCTGGTGAGCTTCCTCCGGACGTCTCCTCCATGTCCAACTTATCTTACGTCGATCTCGGTGGGAACCTGTTAAGCGGCCACATTCCTCCACAGTTTGGTGAGTTGAGCAACCTTAAGTACCTCACGCTTGCGGCCAACCAGTTCACCGGATCCATCCCTCCAGAACTCGGCCAGCTCGCCAACTTGGAGTGGCTCTACCTCGGCTACAACAGCCTCACCGGAAGCATACCATCTGCTCTTGGAAGCCTTGCCACTCTCAAGCACCTGGATCTTGTCCACAACAATCTCACCGGAGCTATTCCAGAGTCACTGTCCCTCCTCGTCTCGCTGGACACGCTTTTCCTCTACAGTAACTCCTTGTCAGGGCCGATACCACCGCAGCTCGGACAGCTCTCGGGCCTCGTTTCGCTCGACCTCAGCATCAACGCTCTCTCGGGAGAAATCCCTGCGGAGCTCGGAGACTTGCTCGGCCTGGAGCTGCTCAATCTCTTTGGCAACCGGCTGACGGGAGCCATTCCATCCTCCCTTGCTCGGCTACCACGTCTCAGGAACTTAGCGCTCTGGAAGAACGATCTCTCTGGCGATATTCCTGCCGAGCTAGGTACTTACGCTCCCAACCTCACCACCTTGGATCTCTCGAGCAACTCCTTCACCGGACAAATACCTCCATTCCTGTGCATGTCGTCCAGAACTTCCCAGCTACGCAGGCTCATCCTCTTTTCCAATCTTCTCTCGGGGCCCATCCCTGATAGTATTGCCACCAATTGCCTGTCGCTGGAAAGAATAAGGCTGGAAGACAATCTTCTCTCTGGATCACTTCCGGATACACTGACCTCCATGCCTCGTCTCACGTACCTCGACATATCTTCCAACGTTCTCACGGGACCTCTCAGCTTCTCGGTAAACTCTCCCCTCCAAGTTCTCTTCGTCCGTCACAACCAGCTTTCCGGCCCCATACCCGAGACCGTCGGAAGAGCTACCAAGCTTGTGCGGCTCGACATGTCCCATAACTTTCTGTCCGGCAGGATTCCAAAGGAGCTCCAAGATATGTCCAGCTTGAGCGAGCTTGACGTAAGTGACAACCATCTCACTGGCCCGATTCCCAGCGAGATTTCCAACTGTCCAAGACTGGTAAGCTTGAGACTCCGCGGCAACCACCTCAGCGGCCATATCCCAGCGTCTCTGGCATCAGTGAGGCTGCTGGGATTGCTCGACATCTCCAGCAACCTGCTGACGGGAACCATTCCACCTCTCTTGACTGCCATGCCTTCACTCATCTTTGCAAACTTCTCGGACAACCGTCTCACCGGACCCGTTCCGGACACCGGAGTCTTGTCCGCTTTAAGCCAGAGCTCCTTTCGAGGCAATGCTGGCCTGTGCGGTCGAAAGGACCTGGGACTCAAGCCGTGCTGGAACTTTCTACTCTTCCACAAGCTGGCAATGGTGCTGTGGATCACCGGGGTGATCACAGTGCTCGTCATATTCCTGCTGCTGTGCTTTGCAAGGATTAGCTACACAAAGAAGAAAAAAGTGTTTACACAGAAAGTCGCAGACGAAGCGGCTCTCCTCTAAAACATGGGCGACGAACGTCGAATGACCGACAGACGAGCAATGATACCTGTAAAATCATCTCGGCTTTATTAGATGGGTGAATAAACAAGATTCAATAGAAAGAATAGAGATGCGTACAAGTCCTTTTGACGTGAGGAGCCTTGTCCCGTGATACCCCGGCCCCAGCCAACATAATGTTAGTTACAGATTTCGCGAGAAGATACACCTTGTAATTTACAGAAAGAGCAGCTGGAAGAAGTGTGACGCTTGAAAGAATGAAAACCTCGTACCTTCCATCATTTTTATTTTTCCTGTTTAGCTTTGCTCTCCAGCAACTGCGTTCTCGTAATCGCTTCGCCAGTAATTGACGTCGTTGAATTCGGAAGCTCCCTGTTTGTCCTCCGGCGGCACAGTGTTCTCCAAGTGCATCTCCTTTGGCTTTAGAGGCCCTGCCTCTCCGACAACCCCTTCCTTTAAAGCACTTTCCATTGCTTTCGCTGTTGCTCCTTCCTCTACCCCGACAACTGTGTCAGGTTGAGCTTCTGTTCCGAGAGCCTCATCCTTTGCTGCTTCCTGTTTGGTCTCTTCCCCATCTAAAGTTGTTGATACGCCGCGCGATTGGTCGTCAAAGCAAACAATAAACGGGTTGTTCTCCCCAAAGTCATCCCTCTTGATAGCTTCGTCGGATATTTCGTAGCCTTGGAAGTTAGCCCAGTCTGCTGAAGACCTTGAAAAGTAATCCAGATTGAAGGCTGCGTTGTCTGTGCCTCCTACTCCATTTCTGTCACCCCATCCAGATGGCTCGTTTGCAGACGGCAACTCACTGTCCTCTCCAACCACAACCTCATCGTCACGGAAGCTCCTGCTTAGCGCACTCAATTGAGCATTGCTATTCCCAGCCGAAGAAGTGAGGTTATCTGGCTCAACGTCCTGAAAATCAAACCATGTTGGAGCCCTGTCACACAAACACGTTAGCAAATGCTCATACCGCAACCAAGGCAAGCTCGTAAGCTCGTACCTTTCTTGCTCATCGCTCAAGCGAATAGAAGAAATAACAACCTCGGCACTTTCATCGTCGAAATAAACGTCCTACAAAACAAAGTGCTCAGTGTTGATGTATACAAGTTAAGTGCAAGCTTATACAAACCTCATCCTCCCTTCCGACAGGGCCAGAAATCTGCAGAGTAACAAGGGTGTTAGTTTACTACGTTTTCAAAAATTACATCACCTCGTCAGGATCTTCGTCGTCAAATATCCCGTAGCGAAATACTTCCCGTGTCAAATTGGTAGCCATTGCTGAGACGTCAAAGTCTCTCTCACGGAACTCCTCGTCATCACTTTCTACAGGCCGCTCTCTGATGGACGTTGGCCGCCTGGCACAAATCAAAATGAAAAAGAGAGCACCTAACAACGGATCCTCTCTTACCCGCACGTCCACTGAAATACATTCTCTAGCATATTACGCTGCTGAAGAACAGTGCTCTGCCATTGAGACCACCTGGGATGCGACTGTAAAATAGACGTAGTATAAGGATAAGAATACAGCAGCTACACAAGATTCATACTTGAAGGTAACCCTGCAACCGTGGATTAGAATTTTCCGTCTGTACAAGCCTATTAGCAATACGAGTAAGGTGACCCATGTTCCCAACTTTAGGTGGAGGCTTTTTTTTCGATACGCTCTGAAATTAAAAAGAAGTCAATACCACTAGGTCGGATTGAACTGAGTTACCTCTGGTCGCGTATCGTGCGCATATTGGTTTTCATCTGTTGCCAACAACCGTGACAGGAAGTCACAGTCCCCAAACAAATTGTCTGTCAGACCACCGTCTTCTATGCATGAGGTAATGATTGCTTCAACGTGAGTATGTAGCATGTTGTTAAAAGGATAGCTGCCATTACAAGTATATCAGAAAAGAATTTTGCAGTTTTGCCACCATACGTACTCGAAAAAGAACCCAAGAATCGTTTGTAATGCTTGCAACCGAATTAACTCTTGACGAGCAGCTTCGCTTTGCGTTCTGAGCAGGACCGCAACAAATTCTACAATCTGCTCGTGCGTTAGACGAGAAAGTAGAAAAGTAAAGAACAGCATAAGATACCTTAAGGCGATGTATACCAAAAGGAGGCCTTAATTCACCGTAAGTAGTTGGGAGCCTCTTGGTGTCGTCGACAATGTCCAACAAACGTAGCAAACTTCCTGTGCATAATAAAAATTGCGCTCATTAGCCTCACCCAGAAAGCCAATCAGGAAGCACACCTAGACTTTGAAGCATCCCTTCAACCGTCTCCGGGCTTGCTACGGGCATTTCAGCCGGTGGACGAGATCTTAGACCAGCCGACGACGCGCGCTTTGGATCCAATAATGAAATGCAAACAGAGAGAGAATGAATCAAAGCTGATTTTGATTCTTGATCCTCCAATGCGAGATTAAAGAGTTTAGCCACAAACCTGCAAGAACGCTGCAAATAAGATATACCACAAACATAACTCCCTACCGTGGGCTGGCCAGTTTCGAACCCAGAGCAGAGGGTCCACTGTAGTTGCCGTAGTGGTCAGATGGAACAGAACGACTTATAGCTGCTAGCGTCTCTGCCGCGTTAGCATGTACTTCAGAAGGATACTACAAAACAAACGACTTTTAGAAGCAAAACTTAAGACCGGAAAGAACTTACTTGCGGGTTAAGCTTATCCACCAGCATCTCCAAAATATCAGTTTCCTCTGCTAGCCATTGCAAGGATTCAACGTGATATGCAATCACGTGATCACTAACCTCCACGAGCCTCATTAGGACCTAGTAATTTCTTAAGCTTTACAAAAAGGAAACGAAGCTAGAAATAGGCAAATGGAGAACGTACCTCTTTGATTGAGGTGATCCCAATCAAGTCAACAAGGTTTTTCAGGAGATCTTTATGTCCCTTCAATGAGAACAAACATGGCAGGATAAATGGAAGTTCAGAGTTCACTTTGTGCACCTACTTGCAAATAGCGGATGATTGCTGCATGCTCTCGAATCAGCAAGCAAATAACGACCTGCCAAACCACTTTAAAGGATCAGATAAGTAAACGTTGACTATCAAGCACACCTGCCTTGCTAAAATAACCAGCTAACAGCGTCCCATGTTTCCAGGAAGGATCCAAGAAAGAAAACAAGAATCCAAGGAGCTGCGAAAAAAAGCCAGCAAGGTATCAGCACGCAAAAACCGCACAAAAAGTCCAAGAATCGAGAATACCTCTTCATCTTCCACGAGTGTCTTCAGGATATCTTGAACTTCACACGTGATGACTTGACAGGAGATGAATGGGAACCTGGAAAAGCAAGAGGAAACACATGAATCCGAGAGCTCACACACTTTTCACATGGACGAGAGTTTACAAACTTGAAAGCCCGTTCACTGGATGCTCCTTCGGGAGCTTCCTCCACAATGTAGCGGATCATTTGCTGAACTTGAGCCTTTCCTCTTAAACTGTGCCAATCCAGAGAAAAAAAAAAGGGGGGGAAACACATCAGAATTCTCTGCTTTGACAGATCCAAAACCATGCACTCACAAGTTTACGAGCCTGTAGTTCGTGGATTTGCACTCCTGAATTATCTGCTCTTCGTCCAGGAGCTCCTCGAGCGTGTAGCCGCTCTTGTCCAGTATGGACTCGATCTGGCAGCACAAAACAGTATCAACTCAATGCCAAAAGCAAAGATTGGTTCCACATACCGGCGATGTGGCGGCCATTTTCCAGAAGACCCCTGCCATTGTTGACAGGATCTGCGCCACGGGTAACAGCTTATCGCGCAACAATCTGCTCTCTCCCAGATCTCACGGTGCTGCTATAAACCCTAAGCGCCCGAGCAGCACTGACCTCAAATGCGCAATGCAATCGCTGACCGGCGCTCCCGGGGGCCCGAATCCAGCTCCGGCAATCCACACGCACCGATTCTAGTGCGCACTGCTGCGAATCCAGTGAAATTCCCTCTGGGCGGGCGGAATTCGTCGCCCGGAGCACACACGCGAAGCAAACCCTACCTAGTGTGCCAGTTTCCTGAAGATTCTTTGCATATACTATTTTCTATTTTACTAAAACTTTGGATGTTAAGGGATCACCGTTGGATCCAGGTCGTTAAAGAAAAATTAGGGCCTCGTCTTCGCGATGGCAGCTATGGCGAATGCCGGCGCTATGGCGGAGCGCAATGCCGGCGCTGTCGCATTTTATCCATTCTTTCTTTCTCCAAAAGAATAGAAATCTCTCTCGCTAGCATTGCGATCGACATAAACTATACATATGCTTGAGGTCAGAAACTCTTCTTTTCTTGTGTTCTTAGATCTTATTTCCTTCCTTGTGCTTTGAAGTTAGAGCTCCAAAGGAAGGTCACAAGAGATAGAATCAAAACTAAAGAGCATCGGCCTCTAGAACAAACTATCGAAAATTTTCGTCAATCAGGCAAGCTACTGTGGCCTTTCTTCCATGCAAATGCCATTCCTCCCTGACGATTCTTATGCAAATTTGCCAGCAGCACGTAAGCGCCTGGAGAATCCGGCTTGCACACGTCCAAGTTCTCGACCACCGTGTTGCCGGCCTCCACCGAGCTTCTGAGGTAGCTCCTCCACTCGACTCCATCGGCATCAAACGGCATGATTTGGATCAACTCTCGGGCCTCGGCCAGAAATCCGGTCCGGCACAGCAGATCGACGAAGCAGTTGTAGTGCTGCTTGAGCGGCTCCAGTTCGTAGTCCATAGCCATGGAGACGAAGCAAGACCAGCCTGTTTGGACTCTCCCAAGGTGACTACACGCGAGCAGGATGCTGAGAAACGATGCTCCATCCGGCGGAACCTGGAGACCCAGCGACACCATCGTGAAGAAGAGCTCGAGAGCTTGGGTGGAGTGACCATTCTGGGCGTACGCAGCCAGCATCGCGTTCCAGAGCACGAAGTCGTCCTGCTCGGGTGCTGAAAGGAAGACCCGCTCTCCACCTCGGACGTTCCCCAGCAGTGCGTACGAGCTCAGCATGGACGTCCTCACGACCGCGTCACAGGCCGGGATGGAATCAAATACCGACTTTGCCGCTTCTAGATGACCGTCCTGGGCATACCCAATCAAGAGAGCAGTGCTGGCCATGGTGTCTAGAGCCACTCCAGACGACTCTAGAAAGCTGAGACTGTATCCGCTTCGGGCGTAGAGGGAGATGAGCGCTGTGATCGCCACCGAGTTCCACTCCGGCATCTTGTCAAACTCATGCTTGGCTTCCTCCAGGCGGTCGTTGAGAGTGAAGACGCACAGCATCGACGTCCGCGACACCAGGTTGTGCTCGGGCATGGAGTCGAACAGCTGCTGGGCCTGGTTGACGAGCCGGTTCTTCGAGTAGACGGTGATCATCGTGGTACAGGAGATCACGTTGAGCTCAGGCATGGAGTGGTAGTGCTTGAGAGCTTGTTCGAGATGCCCCCCCTGGGCATAGACCGCAAGGAGAGCCGAGCAGGATATGATGTCTCTTTCCTCCATCGACTTAAACACGAAGCTCGCGTTTCGGAGATCGCCACTATCCTCGTATGCCGCCAGCATTGCCGTGCATGAGATGAGGTCCCTCGCCGGCATCGAATCAAACAGCTCCTTGGTGTTGAACAGATGGTTCCTCTGGGCATACGCTCCAAGCAAGGTGGTCCAAGTAACTACGTCCCGCGCTGGCATTGTCTCGAAGAGCTTCCGTGCCTCTAGCAGCCTGTGATCCTCTCTTTCGTTGACAAGCACGGCCAGGAATGCGTTCCACGACGCCAAGTCGCGCTGCTTCATGCTCCAAAACACTCCCCGTGCCTTCTCCAGCTGCCCGTTCTGGGCATATCCGACCAGCATCGCCGTGCAAGCCACCGAGTTCCACTCGGGCATCCCGTTGAAGACGCTGGCGGCCTCGTCCAGGAGACCGTTCGCGGCATACGCACCGAGCAGCGAAACCCACGAGAAGAAGTTCTTCTCCGGGATGGAGTCGAAGACCCTGCGAGCATGCTCGACGCTGCCACACCTCCCATATCTCTGGACGAGCATGTTGGAGACGAACACGTCCAACGGTAGTAAATGCCGAGCTTTGGAGTGAGCCTCCTCCACCATAGCCACTGTCCTGGACGATCTTATCAGCTGTAAGCATGCCTCCCGGTCCAACCCTCTGCTGCTGCTGCTAGTTACCATCTCGATCGAGACGGCATTTGATGTTCTTGAATCTTGTTATCCACGTTTAAGTTACGTCCGGCATAGTCCTTCCTCGACTGACGATTTCCCGTTCCTTTCGGCCACGGGCTCAATGCTTCTTAAGTTCCATGAATGAGACGGCCCCCTCGGACGTGACCATTAATGCCTGGTTCGTTCACGTGTCGCTGCTGCTGCTGCTGCTGCTGTGAAGATGCAAACGCATTACTGCTGTCCATCAAGCCATAGATTTGATGCTGCTGTCCATCCAAACCTCCTGCTGCCCGCAAAGCATCGTAAGACTGTAGCTGCTGACTTTGGTCTCCACCACCACCACCCGCATTTGTTGCCGTGAAAGCCCAACCACGACTCTGACTGTCCAAAGGAGGGGACGACTGCAAAACGTTGTGAAGGGACGACCGTGACGAACTGCTACTGCCAGCCGAAGCACCTGTACTGTTCGCCGTGACGCCGAAGCCAGCTAACGACGCAGAAATGCTGCCGCTGTTCTTGGGCTCTGGCGGTGGTTTCAGCCACGAAGATATCGATATCCCGCTGCTGTTGACATGATCATGCCCGTCGACATCAACCACGCTCGAGTGCTGCTGTCCACCTGAGCTGCCAGCTGCTGCTGCTGCTGCCGGCGATGAGAGAGATAAGCTCGCCCCTTTGGCGAGAAGCTCGTAGCCGGCGGGTGCCTCCTCCGTATTCTTGGGGGACAAGGCCGAGAGCAAGGCCTGGGTGTTGCCCGGTGGCCGGTCACTTAACAGAGCAGAGTGAGCACCACTTGCGTCCTCCGGCTTACTAGCTGTTGCTGATACGCGCGGAGACCGTAACTGTAGGCTGTCACCCGACCCTGCGGTCTTGCTGTCCGAGTGTTCTTGCGAGGATGTCGGAGAAGTGGGGAGCTTTTCGTCGGCTGTTGCTGGAACACGAACAATAACAAGTAAAAAGCTTGAACTTTTGAGAAACTTGTCCGACTGTTGGTGAGAGAGGGGAGCGAGAGAGAGAGAGAGAGAGAAGCAACTTTATGAGTCCGTACCTTCCTCCTCCTTTGGCACCGCTGCTGAAGAGACAACGGGCTGAGGCTTCCTCCTTCGTCTGTTGTGGTCAGCCAACCGCTTCCTGCAACTTCGTTTCCCCTCGTCAAACTCGCTGAGCGGATGAAATCTGGAGGAAACAAGCTAGCATGATCAGGAAGAGAAGAGATCTGCTAAGAGTTACCGGCTGCATTGTTGGCAGAAGCGTTGGGTCTGCCCGTTTGCAGTGACAGTAGCCGCCTTGGAATGCAATTCGCACACTTTGTGTCGACGGTGATAGTGCTTTGCTCCACTCAAATCGGCCTTGCATCCTTCCGCCTGACACAGTGGTACTTGAGCTCCCGGGGAATTTGCTCGGGGCCTTTTCCCCAGCCTCGCTAGCGTGTCTTCCGTCGAGAAGTACGTCCTCACACCCAGATTCAGGCCGATTCGAGCGTTGGCCTCCGCTGTTGCGTACAAATCCTCCCTTTTCATGCCATCGGCGAAGTTCCTGGGATCCATCTCCAGCAGCCCATACAGTCGTCTCCGCTGCTCTTGAAACAACCTTGGATCGTGGCCGCTTCCCGGAACAAAACTTCCACTCATGTTTGCGAAAGGAAGAACCGCTGCTGCCACTCCTGGAAAGCCTTGCGATCCATACAGTAGTGGCTGAGCGGCCTCTAGAGCTTCTCCCTGTCCCCCGACTCCTCCAAGTCCTCGAAAGTCTAGAGTTGAGATCCCGTGACTTCCTGGCATGAAATGCTGCTGGTGTGGCTGGAATAGACCATGAGCAACGTTGGTAACGCTGTGGAGGCTCCCAGAGGAAGACTGTAAGATCGGCTTGAGAAAACCAGGAACTAGCTGAGACATCTTTGATCGTTCTCCAGCGTCATGGACGCTATCAGTGGCGGCCATGTTTTGAGCTGCCAGCTGCTGATAATTCTCCCACTCCCACTCCGATGGACGATGAGCCCCTGGGTGCCTTGAACTTAGAGAGTCACTGCCGCCGACTATGACGCTTGATCCACCACCACCACCACCACCACCGGTCTGGAGTTCCCAGTTCTCAGCTGTCCAATGCAGGTCACTGGGCTGCAAATACTGATTCATCGCAGCTCATGCTCGAGACACGATGAGAAAATCTCCCCGACAAAGATTGTATGTCGATGTCTCCAAGAGATCAAGCTCGATATATCTCTCGACGAAAACGTGAGCGTTTGGAAATCCTATCTCGCTCCCTGCGGCAAGGATGACAGAGGTCAGTTACGCATGAATGTCCCCTTTAGTTTATAGGTAGTCCTTTTTTTTTTCTCTTCTTTCCAACTCGTTCTTCCGCAAGAGAGATTGTGAATATCGTGCCCCGGTCAAAAGGAAAGAAAACGAGACAAGAAGCTCTCCAATCTCGCCGATCCAGAGATTTTCAACAATAGATGAAAGAAAGAACTCTCCCTCTAAGACGGATTATCATGAAAGCCACCGCATTTCGAGAACGAAGGATTTCGTGGAGAGAGTGAGCTGACCTTGAATCCTCCTCCTGCACACACTGGACTGGATGGATTTGGATCGTCCTGGTGAGCGCCGCGAAAATCCGCCGCTCTTGTACTGCTATCGACCGTCCCTTACGGCGCCACAGCCAAGGGAGCGACACAAGGGTATCATCGAAAAAGGGACGATGAGAAAAACTAGAAGAGAGGAGGCTAGAGGGCCTAGAAGAAAGAACTCTCGGAATGCGCCAGGTGATTAACGGCCAGATGTACACCGATGCGGCGGAATGCCCGGGCGATTCCAACGGCCAGAGATACGCGCCAAAATCTGAAATGGACGGGGTTTAAACGTGGCAGTGGGAGCTGACCGTCGATGTTCCAGAGGATCTAACGGAACGGACACAATCATGCCAAATAGACACGCTCATTACATGAATGAATGAGTGACAGGAAAGAAACAAAATGATAGCATCACCCACACACATCCAAAGTTTTTACCTCGTTTCTAGTTTGACTTTTAAACTCCCTCCTTTATTATTTCCATTTCCACTGGTTAAAAAAGAAATTCCAATCTCAATCAGGAACATTGACAAGACAAACAATGCTTGATCCCAGCTTTCCCCAGCTATTAAATTAGGGTTCTTCAGTTGGGTATATTTGTCGGATCCAAACTTTTGGTGCAATCCATGATAGTCATCACTCGAGCCTTTAAACAAGAGGGCAATGTGATGCCCGCGTTGGGCAAATGCAAGGAAATTGGTAAACAAACAAGCCCGAGGCGGGCTCAAAATCAAGCACACAGGGTCCCATGCACAACTTTGTATGAAGCTGTGCAGCCATGATTGCCCTAAAGAAAAGAAAAACGTGTGTTGATCCACGCAACAAGCAACAATGCCAACAAAACTAAAGAAAAAGGGATTATCCCAACTTACGCCAACTTTTTAAAGCCCGCAACCCTGCAAGCTTGAATGGAGTCGAATTCAAGTGTTCTTCTAGAAACCCTGTGAGAGACGTAGACCTGTCAATCAAATGCACAGATATCTCAAGGGTCAAGATTTGCGCGTCAAGAAACACCTTCACGCCACTTTCCTCTGGGAATGAAAACGGGCCACCACTTTGACAATTTCGAGAATGCCCGATTCAATGGACTAGTCGCTCGTGAAAACAAAATCCAAACCAATAACGAGATAACAACGAAACCGCCCGTCCCAAAGAAAAGCGCGATTGAGATGTTTGCGTCCAATTTTCTTCCTGTCTACACAAGCTCTCAGACCCCACTCTTCCAAAAAACTAAAGGCAAAAGGGAGCCTCCACAAACTGATTGGACGGCGAGAGCATATTCCCGCGCGCATATTCTAGCTACGAACAAAACCGCCAACCGTGCATGCAATGGCGTAAGAGGCTGTACTTAGAAACCTTTTAACGTTCCAAAACTAGTAAAAACACGCCCGGCGGCGTACTGCCAAGCCACAAAGTTACGGCAGTAAAATCATCTAGACGCTTTCCCCTGGAGTTTGATCCGGATTTTACCCTCGTCCGTAGAGACAGGCCATTGCGCCTCGTGTACGGTGTTGTATAATGCTCCTGGAAAGCTCTCCCTCTATACGGCGAAGACAAGTCTAAAGACGGGTATCGCAAAGCAACAAGAAAACCATGGATTCGTTCGGTGCAAAAAAGAGTACTTCTTACTATTTTTTTTCTATATCTTTTTAAATACACTGAAATGTCAACATTGCTACAGAGCGCTCCAGCTGCTTTCTCAACACCCAAGGGATGAATTGATAGAGAATCGACTGGATTCCTTCCAGCCCTCACTCCAGTTTTTAAGTCTTTCCTTGGTCTTTCTTTCTTTGCTTCGTGTTGTATAGAGATCAGATCATTCACTGATCCTTGTGTTTTTTTGTGCCTCTCTACGCTTGCTCCATCGATCCATTCTTCGCAATCTAAGCCATTGCCGCCAGGCAGCGCCGCTCCTCCAATCCCCAGTGCCGCGAAATAAACTAACATTGTTGTCTGCGGTGCTGCATTCGAGGAACTAGACAATGGCCACTCCTTCGAGTACGACAGTGGCGTCCGTACTGGGCTTTTGCCCCACACCCCACACAAGATGTGTGCAGCGCAGCACAAGCACTGGCAGGCACACTCGCGAGACAATTTTCGCACAGTCGTGACACACACAACAAGCCTGGCCACTGGCCCCCTCTGACCCACACTATATACAACACACACACACACACCACCACCACCACCTCTTTCTTTCTACGTAGGGCGACTTTATACAACTAGGCTAGCTGCGGTGTTTCATTATTTTATAAAGTTTATATTATAAAAAGTAAAAAAGGTGATAGTAATTCTTTAGACTCACATAAGAGAGAGAGAGATGATAGATAAAACAAGGAATAACAACCAATAAAAAAGCTTTACCTTAACTATGCAATATGGTTAAATTGGTGTATTTTGAGCTACCAAATTGCCATTTAGTTGAAAAGAGATAGCAGCT